TATTTAGACTACCTCTATTGTGATTTTAATCCAATGTTGTGAGATACTCACTCACTACGTCTCAAAAAGTCGATTTTCTTCCCACCACATTATGAATAAGCCATGCAGCAATTTAAATTCCTCAACTCAGGTTATATGCCTTAATATATACGATACCAGTGTTTATGCTGCCAGTATACCAGTTGTATGTGATACCAGTTTAGCAGTTTTCTCAAATTTACGATCTACAACTGGCTGTATTGACCAACTGGAATTATTTTTATGTAACATGAGGCCCGGGATTGTTGTGGCCTACCGTGACTGAATGAATGCAACTGTTCATGGAAACGCTCCATTTTTACATTGACAAAGAAACTGCGGTCACATTATTGGTAACAGCTAATCTGGTTTATCAGATCAGTGCATCTCAACCCACGTATAAATGCAACTTTGCCCTGATACACATCTACTGTACTCATTGTGTGTGTGTGTGTCACAACACAACACACACCACCACACACACAAATGAGTACAGTGGATGTGTATCAGGGCAAAGTTGTCATTTATACGTGGTTGATGATGCACTGATCTGATAAACCAGATTATAGCTGTTACCAATAATGTGACCGCAGTTTCTTTGTCAATGTAAAAATGGAGCGTTTCCATGAACAGTTGCATTCATTATGTCACGGTTGGCCACAACAATCCCGGGCCTCATGTTACATAAAAATAATTCCAGTTGGTCAATTACAGGCCCATTTTTAGATGTAAATTTGAGAAAAACTGCTAAACTGGTATCCATACCAAACTGGTTATGGCAGCATAAACACTGGTATCGTATATATTAAGGGCATATAACCTGAGTTGAGGAATTTAAAATGCTGCATGGTTAATAGTGCATAATGTGGTGGGAAGAAAATCGACTTTTTGAGACGAGTAGAAAGAGTGGAGGCTCACGTAATACTACGAAACATTTGATGTAAATACGATCCACAAAATCTATAAAGGTAGTCGTATATAAATTATCGAAAATAAGAAATAACTTTCTCATAATAAAGCAAAAATAAATAAAAAATTATACAGAGATTAAAGAAAAAGAAAAGAGAAAGACACGATAAAATACACACAGCGAGAAGAAGGACAAATGGATAGTTAGTGCACCTAGTGATAGACTCCTACATTCTAAATAAAGTGAACTCGGGAATTAATATTTGCGATCTCATGCAACTGACGCAATAAACGCTGTCACCTTGCCACTCAACTATCAAATCTCCATCAGTATGTTCTAGGATCAATACACAGTTCTTATATATCTAAATGAATATCGAGTCACTTCGGATTGATGAGCATACAAAGTGATGTGAGTGAGTAAGATTTCTTGTTAGGACCTATGTCCGGCATTATTAATGATCATGCCCCACTGATTGTAAGCGGTTTATCACGAGACAACTAACACATGACCTAAAAAACAAAATAATAAAATAAAAAAAAAAAAAAACATTTTAAACAGAGCACAAGCAGGCAGCTTTTACAGAGATGAACTACTAGAACGCAACCACTTAAAGCATGCAAATAACAGAATAAAAAAGCAAGATAACAGAAGCAACTCACACTTTCCCAGAGGATCTATTCTGCCATGCATTTAAACCACAACGACCCAATGGTTAGGAGAAACATGTCATGGTCTGCTATAGGCGAACAATATAGCACGCAACTAACAAATAAACACAAAACAAACACAACAAAAAATGCACACAACACAACAACAACAAACACAACAAGTAGGCACACACTCACACCCGAAGTAAACGATTCTAAAAGGCGTCTAACTGGGTAAGGTGTAAAGTTAAATATTGAGTTTCTTTATTCAGATTAATGCATGGCATAGTATGATGCGAACGGAAGAAAAAAAGTCGGGCTGTATGGTTTTTCAATGTATCTATACACCCCTGCTCTTTGCATCTGGAGCTATATATACAAAATAAAACATGCTACTTCCGAATTCCCATCGTATGTTAAATTGTATTTCTAAACTGCAATAACATTTCTGATCACATTCTCTAGTATTACACTAACGACGACATATAGCATATTATAGCATGCCTGCTGACAGTCTGTAGTACATTTTCTACACTCGAACCTAACTATTAATAGAATTTAAATTGATTTATTGCTGAATTAATGAAGATCTCCACATATGAACCGGACTGCAAATAGATCCCTTAATGTTTACAAACTGGACCTTTTAACGTAACCAAACAATAAAACACAGCTCCGAACTGGATAATCGATGTATTCGAGGGACGCACGACTGTGTACGTTCACCCATACTGAGTGCAAACTAACTCCACAATGAAACGAGCACATCACCGAGCCTCATCGTAGCTGGTTAAGTGGAACTCGCAACCGTTCTGCTAAGACAAGCAAGGAGTGTTGGATTTGCTGAGGCGGAGAATACGATTATACTAGACCGACTCTAATCTAACTCCAAGTGCTTTGGAAAGTTAACGTGAGCAGTTCAGAGCAAGGCGAACATCTATCGGTAAAACACAGTATTCACCCTTTGGAATTCCATACAGCATGGTAAACCACACAACAGCTTCAGGTTCCTGGCTCCTCTATAGCCCACGCCGGGGAATAAAACTTATTCACAAACACGAAAGAATGAGAAAAAAAATGCAGTTCGTCTTCAACATGAGGACGGGAACGAATGCCAGCCAATTAATACTTCAACATATTATGACTAATAGCGTGACCTTTGTATGACAGTCAGATATTTTACAGGGGGCGGTGTCAACAAGATATCAACTGATATTATCTAAGGTACAATGCGTTGATTTCTAAGACAGCCCCACAGTGATACAAAGGATTCCTAGTCCACATCACCAAGTATGGAGCGCGAGATGGTTGATTATATAGATCGGACT